ATTTAATATCGGTTCTCACGAGGGTTCAAGCTGGCTCCATTATGTCACTCTTCTTACCACTACCCTTGTGAGGGGAGTTCTCGCCATCAGGACCCCTGTTGTTTTCATCTGACAAACTTCCTCCCTCCCCTTGGGGAACAGCCTTTTCCGCTCCATTTTGTCTAAAAGGAACTGATAATCACACGTCCTGCCTCCCCCATCACCCTGATAACAGGACTTGGGAGCAAAGCTCTAGAATGAAGGGTTGAGTGACAGCGCCAGGTGTAGGCATTTCTGGTTCTTGGCTGTATTTTCCTAATACTGCCAACCCTATTCTTACTTGGCAATTTGTGGGAAAAGACCCTACCAGCCCCCAAACTAAGGGAGAGCAGGATAGAGCCAGATGTTTCTTTCTGAGGTTTCCCTTAGGCCTTTCCCTGTGTCTGCACCCTGTTCCCTGCAGCCAATAGGAACATCTGCCCAGGAGAACCAGGACAGGCCCACGTTTCGATGCTGGCTCTGCCATCCACTAGCTCTGCGTCTGTGGGTTAGTCACTTCAATTCTTGGAACCTCTGTTCCTTCATTTGTGAAAGATGCAAGAGCAGAATCTGTTTCACAAGGTGGTGGTGAGAATTAAATTATATCGATCCTGCTAGTTACCTCCTCTGTGCCCAGCATATGTGTGCAATTAATAGGCGGCCAATTTTATGATCCTGGCCTGGAATGGGCTGGGGGTGGGCCGTTGGGACTCTGCGGAGAGAATGGGAAACAGGCTCTCAAACTGAGCATATGTCTTCACCTGAGCTTTGCATCCATTTTCCTGATGCCTGGTTTATTCTCATTAAGATTATCCTGTTTTCTCACTGGCTGTTGCAGCCTAAATTTTTCTGGGAGAACAAGAATGCTGCTTGCGGTGCCAGCATGCACAGGGCAGTTTAGCTATCGATTGTCAGATAGAGTCCTAGAAGCCCTCGGTGGATTTTTCAAGCTTTAACGCTCACAGGGAACCGGGCACAGAGACACACTAGGCAGGGAGGCTGGCATGCAAGGAGGCAGGCAGGCCAGGCAGGCAGCTGAGATTCCCAGCCCCCCAGGAATCTGTATGCTCTTTCTCTGTGCTTTCTCTGGCCTTCTCGCTCTCAAGTCACCTCATGGTCTCGCCTATTCTGCAGCCGCACTACTCACCCTCCTCATCGCCTCTGCTGCCACAATTTTATCCCCGCCTCTAGGCTCAAGGATGAACACTCACACATGTGAGCATGCCTATACTCCAGGTGTCCCCAGTTAGGCACGCGTGCCCTGCACCCACGCTCCCAAGTGCCTTCTGCAATAATACAATCAAACCTGCAGATAATAGCCACAGAGGCTAGTAGCATACAAAGCTGATTAATTCATTTACCCTATACTTCCCTAGTAACAACCATCCAAGGCAACAAGTATCTGACTTCCCCCCTTTCGACAGAGAGAGGGCCTGGTAGGATGACTCCTTTGGGTAGAACAGAGGTTGCAAACTCTGGGGGTCTGTTCAGCCTTTATTTCTGGCCTATGCAGTGTTTTGGAAATGTTTGATTCATTGCTAAGATTTAGAAACCAGTGCCTTCACTTGACACTGTGCCCACACTTCTTTTGGGGCAATAAAGTAGCTACTTTGTGGTCAGGCCTGAACGCTGCAGTTGCCAGGCCACCCCCACCCCAGGTTTCCTGATAAGCACACACATTCGTGCATCCTCAAGCTGAGATCCCGGCACAATCTCGTGTGCCCGTGTATGCAACTTCCAGGGCTGCCACCACCCCATTCACCCATCAAGCAGTATCTGTACCCTTACAGCACTGATGTAAGGATCCAGGATCTTACAGAAATATCCTAAGTTTAATGCCGCATTGTTCACAGTAGTCAAGATATGGAAACAACCTAGATCCTAGATGCCCATCAACAAATAAAGGAGATGCGGCATATATATATATATATATATATATATATATATACACACACACACACACACACACAATGGAATATTACTCAGCCATGAGAAAGAAAGAAATCTTGCCTCTTGCAACACCTTGGATAGACCTTGAGCATATTATGTTAAGTCAAACAAAGACAAAGATGTGCCCTCTGATGATTACAGGTCTCTCTACTCCCCTCTAAAGCCAATCCTACCTGCCTCTCTCATCCACTCAAGGACACCAGTCTAACGGTCCCTCATCTCTCCTGCATCATCACATTTCCTCCCTCCCCATCAGACCGCATGCAGGTAGTCATTTCTCCCATCTTAATAAGAACCTTCTCTCAACGCAACTTGTCCTGCCAGCTGTTCTAGATCTCAGCTCTCCTTGACATTTAAATGCCTCTACCCCCATTGTCTCCATTCCCTTCTCCGGCTCTTTCTCGGAACTACTCCAGTCAGGTGTTAGCCCCATCACTCAACCAAAACCCTGACAAAATGGCCAAGACTCAATCCGTGTTGCTGAGTACAGATGGATTCTCAGGCTCATCTTATTTGGCCTATTAGTGCTACTTGTCAGAGCTGACCACTTCCCCTTCCTAGACACCTTTTTCAAGTGGCTTCCTTAGCTGCCTGGTCAAGCTGAGCCTCCAAGCTAATGCTGGTTCTCTTTCTTCCTAGACTCACTCTCTTAGTGACCTCATCTGACCCTACCCTCTAAATACATCTGCATGACAGTGCCTACCTGATTCATACATCCACCCTAACCCTCCTCCTGAACTCTAGGCTACCCCAGATCTCCACCAGAATGTCTAGCAAACACCAAAAACGTCACATATCCTAAACTGCTGATCTTCTCCCAAACCTGTGGCTTCCCGTCTCAGAAGAGCCTTCCAGGATTCCCTCTCCGCCATCCACCAACATCCGACTCCAGCAGGACTTTCCAGTGGCTCTATTTCAACATATTCAGAACCAGATCATGTCTTCTCACATCCACTGTCACCAGTGTGGTCCTTGTAGTTGGGTGATGGTGGTGATGGTCATGAGGATTTTGGCCATAAGATTTTTAATGTTCTCACCCTAGCAACCCAAACTTCACAAATTGTTTGGTGATGATCTAGAGTTGCTGTTGGTGAGGGCATAAGGCACCTAGAAGCCAAGCATCACAATGTAATTAATACTTGAGAATTTCTTTCACAGACTACTTTATCCTTTGTGTATTTCTATCACTGGCTCCTCCCTCCTTCTCCATAGAAACAGCACCTGACACCAGTGGTGTGCCCCTAGATTCCTCTCGTCCAGCAAGGGGGGAGGAGGTTGGGGTCAAGCCACACTGTGCTGTGCCATCGCTTCTCCCTATGGGATTTTCATTCCCATAGTCTCCTACTTCCCCCGCTTCCTTCCTTTGTCTACTGTCGATGTGGCAGCGCTGTGATCCTGTTACTCTTTGCTGCAAAACCTCTAAGTAGCCCCCATCCCACTCCTAGTAAAATCCAGATCACTGACGGGGCTTCCCTGGTGGCACAAGGGGTTAAGACACAACCTATGAAGTTATCTGCAGCCATTGTAGCATGAGTTCGATCTCCGGCCAGGGAGCTACCCACATGGTGCAGCAGACCTCTCCTGTCTCGCCTGCTGCTCCCCTCAGCAGTGTTTTTCAGTTGATCTGCCTGTTCTGCTCCCCACTCTGTCTCTGGTGAATCCTCTTGCCCCCCCCCCACACGCTGCACACCTCTGGCCTGTACCCCCGTTCTTGTATGCATAAATAAATCTTAGGAAAAAAAAAAAAAAACCAGAGCACAGACCATGGCTGTAAGGTCCCACACGATGGGCCTCTCTGCTCTCCTCCCGACCACCGCCCTTCACCCCTGCTCCTGCCATCCTGACAATTGTTGGGGAAGGTGCCACTTCCCCGCCCCCACTTACACACCACTGCTCTGGGCTATTGAGAACCAGGGGTGGGGCTGATAAGGGGCTATTGATAACAGGTGGGCTAATAAGGCAGGTGGGTTCTGGGGATTTTGTTTCCACAGCCATCTTGCTTCCTGGTACTCCTGGGAAAACGAATGGAAGGACACGCGTGGTGGAGAGACACCTAGCGACACATGGGTGAGAGAAGGCTGTCCTGGGCAGAGACAGTGACAGCTGTTGTCTTGATTTGTACTTTGATTTTGCCTAAAGCCTTTCTTGCTGTTCCCCACCCAAAGGTGCCTAGACTTGTTGCCAAGCTTTGCGGCCTCACTGGCCCCAGTTCCCATCAAACCTGCTTGACTGGGCATTTGTGCACAAGGTGATGGGTAATTTTGAATGTTTATTAGAAAACTATTATTAGGAATATCCTTTCTTCCCTCTCTCTGCACAATCTTTTAAAGATCTTTCACACTAAGTCTGCTTTGTCTTTTATGCGGTGAATGGCAGAATCCCCTTAGAACATGTACCCCTTAACATTTTGGGGTCCCAGGGTGCTCCTCAGTTGCACACTAACAAAATGTCCAAGCGTCCTCCCATCTTCAGCCTTTGCATGACCTTCTGCCCAGAACGTTGCCCCAGGGGTCACATAGCTATCATCCTCAACCACCTTCAGGCCTTGTTAAAATATTATTTCTGCAGGAAACTCTATCCCCTGAGTTCCGCCCACCCTCCTGGTTATCCTTACCTACTCCTTTTCCCTCTTTACATGTCATCATCTATGATGTCCTATTATGATTTACTTATTTTTTTATTGTCTGTTTCTCTGTTCCTGTTCCTAATCTCAAGAATTTAGGAGGGTGCCTGGGTGGGACATGAAAAGCACTCAGTCAGTACTTCTAGGAAAGAGCAGGACTTTGATCATAATCTCAAACCATTAACAAAACAAGATACTTCTGAGGACTAAAGTGCTTTGAAAGCAAGCCAACCATTGTTTCAGACCTGAGTCTTTCTCAGCAGGGACAGAACAACAGGACCCAATGTATTCTGCTCTTGGTTTTTCCCAATTTCCTCCCAACTTGGCAGTGTTGGGATTGACCTCCCCTGGCCCTGGGAGCCCCCAAGCAGCAGCTTCCAGCCCCTGTGAGAGAGCTCCCCCAGCAGCAGCACAGAGAGGAGACAGACCATGAGATTCACCACACCAAGTGGGCGCTGTATGTGGAGTACGTGCCGGGAGCAATAAGAACAGCAGTAAATACAGAACAGAAAATAACCTTCTTTGAAATGACAACAAACAGGGCACATTATCTAAACACTAACACCTAAGGAGGGGGCTGCCCAGCCTCTTGCGGGCAGCTCCTCAGGACAGAGAGGCCGACTTCTTTCCAGGCTGTCTGGTCTTCAGTCCTTGTAACTTTTCATCTTTCAGTGCCTTCAAGAACTTATCTGCAAGAGAGCAAAACACACTTAGCTGAGGTTAGAGATAAGGATTTTTCCTAACACTTCCAAAGTTTCTGGGACGCATGCTCCCTACATGAACCCCAAACCCACTTATGATCCCAGATAAATGGGGAAAAAACATGTTTAAGTGAAGAATTTGTAGTCAAGAGATCCAGGACTTAGAAAAGCCTTTGTATTCTAGGGATTGTTTTCTTGCCATGGCTGTGGGGAAGAGGACATTCCAAGTGCATTATGAATTGAGGACCATTCCCCTGAGGCCACACGGACCTAAACATTTTGGTTTCTTTCATACTCCCTTTCCTTGGCAGGGAGGCCACGTTAACTTGCTTTATGCAGTAGTGGGGATGGTCTTACTAGAACCACCTGCTCTCCTCTAGTGGTCAAATGCAAGCCTTAGCCGCAAAGGATGATGGCAAAAACCAAGTCTGAAGGACAGCGGGTGGTACTAAATATTCCTCAGTGTAACAGTTCCTTCTGGAAATAGAATCTATTTGCCTTTACCTTCCAGTAGGGAGAAATCAGTCAGTTGGTGTGTTAGAGCAGCCCCCTAACCTCCATGCACTTGGGCTTACTGGATCCAGATCCCTACAACCTCTGACACAGGATCAGAGGGCAGCCCCAGGACCCTGGTGAGTGGGCTTACCAGGGTCAGGGTCAAGGGCCACAGGGAAGCTACCTCCTGGCATTGAGAAATGTTAGGTCCCAAAGTCCCACAGTTCAGGGCCTTGAGCCTTCTCAGGCCATGCCAGTTTAATTGCACCTGCCTCCTCCTATTCTGGGTCCCAGTTTAAAATAAACACTAAAGCTCTGGTCTCTGGAGATAAGGGCTATCTGTGATGGGTGGAATTTTGGGGGGTGGGGTGGTGTTACTGAACTTAAAGATTCAGGATGGGGATTGTGATGGGTGGAGCCCCAGGTTGGGAGGCCCAGAAACCTCAAAAGGGGTTCAGGAAGGAGGGGAGATGGAGTTTGGGCCAGAGACCTCATGAACCCCAGATGGTGGTGGGTGAAAAAGTCAGTTGAAATCCAGGATCGGGGGAGTTTGGGCTCTAGGGGATCGATCTGGGACGTGGGACTCCCAAGGGCTGGGGTCTGAGCCGAGGGCGCAGGGGCCGGGGGAGCCTCGGAGAGAGCGCCCGGGCAGGCTAGGGGTGGGCTGGGGCAGGCAGCCGGGCCAAGTCACGCACAGCGCTGAGAGTCGAAGCCGTCCCCAGTGATGGTGAGCAGCTCCAGCTCCTTGATCCGGATCTCCAGCTCGCACAGCTCCTCCGGGTGGGAGCCGGAGGCGAGTCGGGCGGCCGCGGGGCTGGCGGCCAGGGGCGCAGCAGCCACCTCGGGGCCCGGCGGCGGCGAGTAGAAGAAGCGCAGAGGCTCGTAGGGGATGGACGCCAGGCCGGCCGGCCAGGGCGGGGGACAGGGGCGCTCGCTGGGGGGGCCCAAGCCGGGCGGCGGCGGCGGGGGGGCCGGGGCCGGGGCCGGGGGCGCCAGGGGCAGAGCGCGGACCCCGGCTGCCCCGCCCGCCGGCGCCCCGCCAGCTTTCAGGGGCACGAAGAGCTTCTTCCAGATGTTGAAGTCGCTGAGCGGCGAAGAGGAGATGCCGCGGTCGTAGAGGGATGGAAAGTAGAGGGGCGCGGCCGGCCGCTGGCTCATCGTGGGGCTCTGGCTGCCGCGCCGCCCCTTTGGCATCTTTTGAATGGGAGGCTGCGTGGGAGGAACCCCGCGCCCGGAGACGCGCGCCGGCCCCGAGTAGCCGGGTTCTGAGGTTCCACAGGCCACGCCCCGCGGGCGCGAGGCCCCGCCCCCTCGCCGCAGCCCCGCCCCGAACAGGGTTCTGAGGTTCCACAGGCCACGCCCCGCGGGCGCGAGTCCCCGCCCCCTCGTCGAAGCCCCGCCCCGAATAGGCCGGTTTCTGAGCGCGGCCGGCCACGCCCCGGAGTGTGGCCCCGCCCGTTACTACAGGCCACGCCCCCTAGAGAAAGGCGCTGCTGGAATGGGAAGCTCTGCGGGTTCACCCTAAGGGGCTGGGGTTCTGCTCCACCCGGCGATCCACCCCACCCTCGGCGGCAGCTTCCTTGCCCTCCAGCGCCAGGCCGGGTCCTGCCCGCCCTCGGTTCCCCCCACGACCCCTAAATTCCTTTAGTCTGCCCCTCCTTATATAGGGAGAAGAAAAAATTTTACACCTGTCCCCTGCTCCAGGTGACTTTCCTCACCTGCTGCAGAGAAGTCTGGGAAAATGAGGTGTTGACTTTTCCTCTCCTGTGCCAGGCAGGCAAGGAGCGGGAGAGGGTTGATTGGAAATGATTGTTAAGCCAACCCATGTGTCTGCCAAGTTTCCCAGTGTTGTGGCAGATTCTGGAAAAGGGGATTTGAATTTGTAATAGATGGGAAGTAGAATGTCTTCAAAGAAATGGTTTAGTTCTCTTCCAAACACACTGTCAGGGGGGAATAGGCAATAAACTCAGCAGGAAAAGGAAATCCTGCCGAACCCATTTCAAATAGCTCACCCATTTTTAGAGTGACCTGGAGCTCATGCCCAAGCCACACGCCCAGCTCATCAACAGGAGCAGAGCAGCCAATATTAGTCTTAGACTGAGGAGAAGTAAAATGCTGCAGCCTAATGATTTTGGTGTGAAAGAACAAAGGTGGATGAGGGCCAGGTCAGGCTGTTGACTGGTGAATGCTTATGTACTTGTGGCTATATACAGGGGTGCTTGTGTGCGTAGCTGTGAAGTAGAGAGAGTCAGATGTCCAAGCTGGGTAGCTTTGGGCAAATTGCTTGGCCTCTTTGAAGGGGAGTGATCCTCTCAGTCATTAGTATTGTAGACTAATGTTACCTCAATCTAAAATAAGTAGTAATAAAAGGAAATAAGAGAACCAGGCTGCCTCATATGGTTGTTGGTGATGATCAGACAGAATGGTGTATGCGAAGCACTTAGAAACTGTCTAAATACACAGGGCCCTATCCCTAACAAGGATCTGGGAAACCTTTTCTTCTCACATGTAGCTGTCATCTGCTTGAGGGCAAGTGTCCAGCCCCAAGAATCCTATAATGCTGAGTATGTTATCAGACTCAAATATTTGAGCACTTTTTAAAAGTGTTATGTGTTATGGGAATATATCACTCCAAAACATGCTGCTTTGGTGTAAGCTTCTATTCCTTTTTCCCACACACACACAGTGCTGACTGGACTGACTGTGACATTAAGGGATCTTTGAAGTTGAACACAATGCTCCTTTTTTTAATCATAAGCAAGAATGTTAAAAACCGATTTCCTTTAGTTAACTGAATGTTTAGTTAACCAAATGTTTCCTCTTTCTTTGTTAATGAGTGAATTGGGTATTATTTCTATGTATATAACTTACACAAACTGAGACCAAAACTCTGAGTGGGTCACTCAGCAAAATTTTTTGACTGTTCCCTGGAACTCTGTCCTCAGTTTGGCTCTGAATAGCCTCTTTAACAAATTTCTTATTAAACTTTGAAATCACATTACAGCAGGGATTATTCAGTTAACAAATCCCAAGCAACAGCTTCTATTATCCCATTTTTCAGATGACAAAACTGAGGCACGTGAGGTTACATAACTTGAGGTCCTGTGACTGGTTTGTATCAAAGCAGCCTTTCAAACAGCTGGGCTTGGTTTGTGCTCTCTCTTTACTGTTACCCCCAACAGTCTCCCCAGTCTTCCGGGCAAGATCAACTTCTGGCCTGTGGCTTCCAGTCCTCTAATTGCAAGTTGTTTGTGCCACAAATCAAAGGCCCATTTATTCTGGAAAGCTGGGAACAGATTACTCTTCTGAATTAACCATTGTGTTGGTCTGGCCCGGGGCGGGGGGGTGGCAAGGCATCCCTGCCTCAATAACCCTTACTATAACACGAAAATTTCTTACAAAGTGCAGTCCAGTCTTGATTTTTGTTTTCATCAATAGATGTGTTTGTATAACTTGCAGAGTAAGCAAAAAAAAATTTTTTTTTAAGATTTATTTTTATTTATTTACACAAGCACTGGGTACAGTCAGAAGCACGGGAGGGTGAGAGAATTCACCAGAGCCAGAGCGGGGAGCAGAGCAGGCAGAAGGACTGAAGCACACTGCTGAGGGGAGCAGCGGGCGGCAGGAGAGGTCTGCGTGCCATGTGGGACCCTCCTCCGGTGACCGGGGAGCAGCCAGGGATTGAACCGGCGCTGCAGAGGCTGCAGGCAGCTTCGCAACCCAGCGCTCAACCGCTGCACCACTGGGGATGCCCCAGAGTAAGCAAATTTTAAAAAATAAATTGAAGCTCAGAGGCAGTGAAATGAAAGGTCAGCGGCTTGGAAGATGAGAGAGCTTATTTTTTAAAAAATTTACTATTTTCTTGATTGAGATAACATTGGTTTACAACACTATATATGATTTAGAGGTATAGATTCACACCTTTTCAGATGTATGTCAGCATACCACACCACCACCAAAATACCCATAATCCTCCACCATAGTCCATTGGGTCCCCTCCCCTATTGACTTCCTAACCCTTTGCAATCCTGCAGTTAGATTTTTAGGGTTTTGGCTTATTTTTTTTTTTCTTTGCCTGTATATTCCACTTAGGATAAGATAATCAGGTATTGTTTTTCTCCTTCTGACTTGGTTTGCTTAGCATAATCCCCTCCAGTTCCATCCATGTTGTCACAAATTGCAGGACCTCATCCTTTTTGTAGCTGAGTAGTATTCAATTGTGTATATCTGTATACCACATCTTCTTCATCCAAGCATTTGTAGTTGGGCACTTATGTTGTGTTCATACTTTGGCTATTGCAAATAGTGCTGCAGTGAACATAGGACTGCAAATTCTAGTTGTTTTTTATAGTTTAAGACTGGTATGTAGTGGTGAAACTGCTGAAGCATTTGGTACAGCTCTATTTTCAATATTTTGAGAAAACTCCACCCTGTTTCTCTAAGAGCTGGACCCATCTATATTCCCACCAACCATGTAAGAAGGTTCCCTTTTTCTCCATCTACTCATCAATACTGATTGATTTTGTTACCTGTCACTTCACTGTAGTTATGTATTGTTTAAGCCACTCTAAGTTGGGTTGTCAGTTATGTGAAAACTTTCTGAGAGATGCACAGCTTCATCCAAAAGTTTTATCTTGGCTCTTGTATAACTCCACTCAGGACATAAATTGCTGGAGAGAACTTGCCCATCCTTTGGTTACAGGAGCGTAAGACACCTTTAGTAGTAGTCCCAAGACTGTTCTTACAGGGTAGAAGTAATTCCCCAAATGGTAATTATAGTGATTGCATTACCAGAAGGGAGGAGGGACAAATGCTGAGTGATTAGATATCAAATATCCATTAGGGTATCTACCATGATTACCACTGATGATGACAGAGTCCCAGGCTCAAGGCCAAGGAGCCTTGAGTGATAGAGGCTTGAGAAAGGACCCTCTGAATTATGGATTGCATTTGGAATGTATTGCATTTAAATATAAATGTACTACATTAAAGAAAGATGTTTTGCAGCAGGATTTTACTGTGTACCTAAAATTTTAAAGAATCCCCAAACTACTTTATTCATGTTATATACATATTTCTTTCTTTAAAGATTTATTTATTTATGCATGCAAGAACTGGGGTGTAGACCAGAGGTTTGGGAGAGTGAGAGGATTCACCAGAGACAGATTGGGGAGCAGAACAGGCAGATCTATTGAGATACACTGCTGAGGGGAGAGGCAGGCAAGACAAGAGAGGTCTGCTGCTTCATGTGGGGTAGCTCCCTAGCCAGGGATTGAACTCATATTGCAGTGGCTGGTGGCAGCTTGACAACGCTGTGTCTTTAACCTCTGAGCCACCAGGGAGGCCCCCATATCCCTATTATTTCTATTCCAATCCTTAGTGTTCTTGGAACTGACTGGTATACCAGGGAAGAGCATGGTTTAATTAGAAATTATTGGTTAATTCTTCTCAATAGTAATTATCTTGATCAGCAATGTTTGGTTGCAAAGAACAGAAACCTTTTCAAACTAGCAATGAAAAAGGGCAGAGGAAGTTATAGTACAATTAGACCTTACTGAATCCAAGGACAGAGTGGCCTGGGTATTACAGTCCCAGTCTGTGAAAAGGGTGTGAGACTATAATTTGTTAACACTTTGATGGATTTGGGTATAAACAATACTATTCAGTTGCTGAGAAAAATGAAGTCAACTCATAGCTACATGATGCTTAGGAAGTAAGCCCTCAAGTTATAACTGCTATACTCCCTGGTGAAAACTTTAGTGCCAGGTACTAAAGTTTCTGTCTGTACCAGTAGAGTTCATGGAAACACTAAATCCCTAAATCCTAAACACTAAAACACTAAATTCTGGCCGTTGCACCACTTCACACCAATATGAGTTACCTACATTTCAGTAAGAGCTATGACATCAGTATCAACATCTTAGGTTATCTGATTTATATATCTGTAAAACCTTTGGCCAGGTTGAGTGGGTTAGTTGAGCCAGTATGAACAGTGATCATATATAGGACCAGCATTCTGGGATTGAATGACTTGACTATAACCAGTAAGAGCAAGGTTGGCAATAGCAGTGCCCCTAGGGAAGCTGATCAGTGAAGGAAGCCTGCCAAGCCACTGCATAAGAATGGTGGCACCTTTTCCTGATTTGGTGCAATTGTCCCTTGCAGGGTACATGCTGTTCTCCATTGGGACTCTGGACCTAGACAGCTGCTGGGGAAATTGAGAACATTCTAATCTACAACGGAACCTTGGACCCTCGTAGCACCCATCTAGAAGTTAAGTACCGTGGTCATTTATCTTACTCCAAAATAATGAGTCTACAACTAGAAAGTTTTAGTTTAGATAAATAATTTTATGGTGAGTAATGTTATAACAAGTAATTTGAAAAGGACATCTCTGGTCAATTTCTACATATGCTGATGTTCATAGAGTGGATGCAACGTAGCTAACTGTATATTATTAGTTTTAAACAACCCTGTTCTCCTTGTAACCTATGTCTGTAGTAACAGTCCATTTCCTATCTGCCAGACACCTTACAAATGTGTGCCCTCAAGCCTCAACAATTCCTTGAGCAGGTACAGGAAGCCAGAGGTTGGAAAGGTTCAAAAAACTTGTCTAGAAACATGCCAATTAGTGTAAAAGACTGGATCTGAACCCAACCACAAAAGGCATGCACTTAATTGCTACTATTCTAAAATGAAATACTTATGGGAAGCAGCGGGTCTTTGCCAAACACAGTTATTTTGAGATTTTCTCCTGTTTCTGGGTGGCCTAACTAGGTTCTATAAAACTCACACCATTAGGGAACCTGACTGTCCAGCAACAAACAACTGTACTTAATGGTCTTTTTTTCCCTAAGAAAAGGGAATGATTTCCTCAAGTCAAAAAGCACCACAGTCTCATTCCAGGCTTCTTGTCAAAGTCTATGTCCTAACACATTTAGGACAGTATACAAACTAGGCAGGATACAGAGTGACCACGCAGGGAGTTGGGTATGAATCCTGGTATTGCCAGCATCTTGCCATAGTGATCTTGAGTGATTCTGTTAACTTATCTAGATGTAGCTTCCTCTTTAGCAAAGTGAGATGATAGAACCATGTAAAACATGGGGCACCGAATCCCCATACCAGAACGTACCCTTCATCACAGGTACCCCCTCATCATCAAGTGTGAAAATGCTGGGTCTTTAACATGTGTGACAAAGCCAAGCTAGCCCATCATTCCAATTAAAAAAAATAAGTCTGGGGGAGGGTAGCTTTAACTCACTATTAATTTATGCCATTAAAAATGCCAAGAACCATACAGAATTTAGGAACAGAGAAAAGTGCAGATTTCAGCCACTGGAACCTCTCTTGAAGACTGAACTTGTATTTCTATATCCTGCCTTCTGGAGCACTTCCCGCCTTACCTGACAAACACCTTCTAGTTAAGAAGACAAGTCATTCCAGTCATCTGCATGAAGGATCTCCTTCCCCCTGACTGGCTGCCCTCACCTGGAACATTCATGGAGGCTAGCTACAAGACCAAAGCCATGAAGATAGAAAGTGAAAAAGCAGAATGCTTGAACAACCATCAATGTATGCTATTACATTTTTCTAGTGACAGTAAAGACCAAAAAATTCCTCGTGAGAGCTGAAAAGAACTTCCTGTGACCCACTCCCCGCTCTCAATGAGCTGATCATACTATTTAAATACGTCCCAGGAACCAGAAGAGAAATCACTTAGGACTGCAGAGAAACTATTCCAGCTGTGGTTGCAAAGGTGGTCCAGCAATGAGCAGAGAAAATGCATTTACCTTTCTTTTTACAATGAATTTCACAAGTGGATCACATTTTGTGGACAGGACTGGTCTTCAAAGCCTCTATCTTATCCTTGCTTAACTTAGTTTTATTCTTTCCCAATGGAATGCAGTTGGAAAATACAAAGCTTTGGGAATGCAACAGCAAAACAAGTCAGGAGTGTACAGAAATGGAATGTTTAGAAGTCCTCTTGGAGTTGACCTAGAGACAAAGCCTCCAGGCTACTGCTAGCACTGGGGCCACCAGCGGAGCTGTGTTTACTGATTTTGACGAGGAAGAAGTTGGGTCTTTGTTACACAGGTCCTCCGAGCAGCAATGATATTTCAGGTTCATCTCCCCAAATTGTTCACTGAGAACCAAGAAGTTGCACTGAGAAGAATGCCAACACCGGAAATATTTACTTTTCCCTGTGGGGGAAGCATACACACAAGGGTAAGCAAACATATGGGTAAAGTCCTACCTTCAAACCCTTAATTCTACTTTTTAGAACTTATCCTGTAGAAGTAGAGACATTAGGGCAAGGATGTGCACCCCAGTTAGGTTGTGAAGGGGAACAATTAAGCAAATCATAACACCTTTCTAAAGGAACTTTTCCATAAAACTAAGTCTTGTAAGAGCCGGTATATGTGCATGTGGTTGGCAATAGTTACTTACTCTAATAGAGATTACCAAAAATTTAAAATAATTGCCCCTTGATACAGCAAGAATTTAGAATTTACTTGTAAATACAAGTGTAATTATCTTATTTGCATAACAACATTATGATGGTGAACTTCTCTCCAAAGCCACTATCAGGATCACACAAATAAAAGTGAATTCTACTAGTCACTGAAGTTTAGAGATTCTTTCTCTGCTTGGCATATTTTTCCCATTCTTTTTGAAGATTTGAGGCTTGAGTCTTCCTGCACCAAGCAACATTGCCCAGTTGTCCTAGGACACTCCCAGGGATGTCTCTTACTTGGAAGGCCTTTATAGCAATGACTGCTAGGTGCTGTCACCAGAGGCTCCTGTCAGGTTAAGTACATAGATTACTCGTGCAGAACCTGGACAGGACTCCAGTAAGCTGTGTTTGAATGAATCCAGAACACCTACTTCTCCTCTAGACGTAATCTTCACAGAAGTATCATTCATTTTCTCCTAACTGCCCCCTGACTCCAAGAGGTAAGTATTCCATGTTACCGTTGGCGGGGAAATGTGGAAAGAGTAAATCTCCCCAATGTCGTACCTAGTCTTTGACTTATGCTTATGGCAGTGGGACATTGATCAGACCTGGAGGGGATTGAAATAGTCTATCTACCTTCCTGTAAGGTCAGAAAATCTGTATTTTAAGAACTGTTGTTAGCTTGTTTGGCTGAAGTTTTGGGACTTATGTTTATTGGGAGAAAAATATTTAAGATTACATTACCCTTTTTAAAAAAATAGACTTTTAGTCTGTAGAGGAGTTTAGATTCATGGTTAAAATTGAATAGAAAGGATAGTTCTCATACAGTTCTCATATAGTGATGCCCCACCCGCTACTGCAAACTACCTTCCCCACTATTAACCCATACCAGAGTGGTACATGGGTTACAACAGATGAACCTATATGGACTCACCATTATCACCCAGAGTCCATAATTTCTATTTGGGTTCACTCTCAGTATTGCACAGTAATAGGGTTTGGCAAATGTATCACATGTGCCCATTAGTCACTGCCCTAAAAATTCTGCATTCTACCTATTCATTCTTCCTGCTTCCTTCCTAACCCCTGACAACCATTGGCTGACCTTTCATATTATCTCCTTAGTTTTGCCTTTTCTAGAATTCAGATGAATGGAATGACATAGGATGTAGCCTTTTCAGATTTGCTTCTGTCACTTAGTAATATTTTTCTTTTATGTCTTTTTATGACTTGATAGCTCATTCCTTTTTTAGTCCATTTTTTGGATGTACCTCCATTCACCTATTGAAGGACACTTTGGTTGCTTCCGAGTTTTGGCAATTATGAATAAAGCTTCTATTAACATCTGTGCAGGTTTTTCTTTTTTCTTTTTCTTTTTGTGGGACCCTTGTCGGCGGCTGGGGAACGAACCGGCGCTGCAGAGGCTGCAGGCAGCCTCGCAGCCCAGCGCTCAACCGCTGCACCACCAGGGGAGGCCCTGTGCAGGTTTTTGTGTGAACATAAGTTCTCAACTCATTTGGGTAAATAACCAAGGGATGCATTATGTTTAATTTTTAAGAAATTGCCTAACTATCATTTTTCTTTCCCACCAGCAATGAATGAGAGTTCCTGTTGCTCCACATCCTCAACCAGCATTTGGTGGTGTCAGTGCCTTGGATTTTGGCCCTTTTTAAAGGTGTGCTCACTGTTTACCTTAACCATTTTTAAAAGCTTAACTATTCATAATAAAATGAATAACTTCTGGGGCTATAATGTGCAGTATATAGACTATAGTTAGTAATACTGTGATGTGTGCTTGAAATTTGCTGAGAGTAGATCTTATACGTTCTCATCACACACAAAAAGATAACTGTGTGGTGACAGGTGAATTATATTATGGTTATTTCACAATTTATATGTATATCAAATATTGAGTACTTTAATGCATACAATTTTTAAAATATATAATTTAAATTATAAGTATATACATATATTTCCAAATAAAGTTGGAAAAAAATTAAAGTTTAACACATTCAGATAAGGAGCAATAGGAATTGAGAGTTGGCATACAAGATTTGGACTCTAAACTGTTTTTCTCTTTCCCTCTTCTTCCCACCTCTATCATACAACACACACACAACCATTAAAAAAAAAAAAAAATAAGGGCAGAAAGAACTTAGTGGGGTCAGGACAGAGCTCAGAGCTCCTAATTGCTGATCTAATAGTAATTCTACACACAATACTGCCTTCACTCTTCCATTTAGGAATTACACTTTTTGTGGTGGGGGGTTCTACCAGACACTGATGACTGAGATTAAAACCCATATTTTTTTTTTTTTTTTGCAGAGTAAATGATTGTCCTTTTGAGGCCTTACTATATGTTCTACATTAACAGTGTAGAACAGGGCCTCCCCGGTGGCGCAGCGGTTGAGCGCTGGGTTGCGAAGCTGCCCGTGGCCTCTGTGGCGCCGGTTCGATCCCCAGCTGCTCCCCGGCCACCGGAGGAGGGTCCCACATGGCGCGCAGACCTCTCCTGCCGCCCGCTGCTCCCCTCAGCAGTGTACTTCGGTCCTTCTGCCTGCTCTGCTCCCCGCTCTGGCTCTGGTGAATTCTCTCACCCTCCCGTGCTTCTGACTGTACCCAGTGCTTGTATAAATAAATAAATAAATCTTTAAAAAAAAAAAAAAAAAAAACAGTGTAGAACATAAACACTGCCTCCCATGTCCCTTTATAGTATCAAGGACATCACATGTAGGGCTTGGAATTTAGATGTATTTCAGTTTATATCAAATGTTCAGATATTTCTCACCCCCTCCCTTTTTTGATAATTCTGATCTGTCCTTACTCACTGAGGGATTTTGCATTTTTTGGTGAAAATGATCTCCTTTCTAACAGGTTTTTCTGAACCTGGAGATCTCCCAAGCTAATTTTTATGAGTTTACATGGTATGGTCAGCATTCCTTGCTATGGAATGCTGATCCTGAAAGAGATTGTGGTAGAGGGTATACACATTAAATAACCTTGAAGGGCGTTTTTACTTTTATCTCATAGAGATGTAAGCCTGAGGGTGTTACTTTATACACCAGGGACAACCTGAAATAGCGATTTTTAAAAATTTTTATATTCCCCATACAGTTGCACCCCCTTTATTGCAAGTTCTTGATATCCCACTCTTTTTATTTTATATATTTTTACATTATTTTTCATTTTTGCACAATGTATGCATTTTCATCTTGGCTATAGTCCCCATACAATCCCCACCCCCTTGTTTTGATCCTACTTCCTCCTCCGCCCCCAGCCCCCCAGAGTGTGTCTCTGGTTTATAGTTCCTTGTTGATTTTGATTTTTACTTTATTATAGTCTTTTTCCTGGTCCCTTATTTAGGTTTTCTAAATTCCTGCTATGAGTGAGACCGTCCGGTATTTTTCTTTTTCTTTCTAGCTTATTTCGCTGAGCATGATCCCTTCCAGCTCCATCCATGTTGCTGCAAATTGCATGAGTTTATCTTTTTTGATTGCTGAGTAATATTCCATTGTGTATATGTACCACATCTTCTTAATCCAGTCATTTATATTTGGGCATTTGGGTTGTTTCCAAAGCTTAGCTATTGTAAATAGTGCTGCTACAAACATAGGGGTGCTGGTGCCCTTTGGAATTAATGTTTCTGTGTCCTTTGGGTAAATACCTAGGAGTGGAATTGCTGGATCATATGGAAGCTCTATCTTTAGTAGGTTGAAGAATCTCCACACAGCTTTAAATAGCCATTTCTTGATCAGTATTATTTTCATATGTCTATTCAATCCAGGACCACATGCAGCAAGAACAGAGATGTGTCTTTGCTATCCATAATTTCCCAAATTTGATCTTAATAGGATTTATGGAGATGAAGATTTCATAGTCTCATCAATTTGGAAAATGCAGATTTGACAGGACTAGTCAATGTTAGCAGTCCCCCAGCCCACACCCATGGGTGAGTGCTTTTCCAACCCAGGAACCTCCTCTGTTTAACCCCTTACTTTCTACTTGTCTTTTGAGCTCTGCTTGCATCTCTCAAACTCTTTACTACCTAATCTATGCAATGAGATATAAGTAAAGTCCTTTGTATCACTAAATAGACCTCTTCATGACTTTAATATCTCCTTTCTTCACACGTTCACATCCCTAGCCCCTACCTCAGGCTCTGGCCTACAGAGGGCTCTTAAAAGATGGAAGACAGCCATTGTTACTGTTAAACATACAAGTGTTGGATTAACACTTGTATGGATTAGATGGATTCTCATGTTCAAATTCTGAATTGATTACTTGACCTTAGTCTGTTGGTTAATTTGAGCCTCAGTTTTCTCATTTATCAAATGAGAATGAAAGATGACTCTGCATGGGAGGTGGGAAGCATTATATTTTAAAAAATATATATATATAAAGTGCTTAGTGGTATGTGACCTGTGGCATCAAATAGTAGCTACCACTTGTTGAAGAGAAGTTTCATGAGAATTATGGTGGCACCATTCCCGCCCCTCGCCCCCACCTCATGGTTCTTATCATCCATTCCACTGAAGAGAGAGGGAAGGGGGAGTCTCTTACCTCCTATGAGAGTGAGACACCTATCAAAATTTTCAAGGCAAGTGTTGTTGTTAGTGCAGGGTTTGGTTGGTTTAATGCAATGGAAGCACTGCAGGCTGTGACCTAGAATGAGGAAGAAAGCCAGTCAGGTCTTGTTACAACAGCATGGTCTTGCCTTCCTGGCAGCCACAGAAAGTCCACATCTGGGGCAGCAGTTGGCAACTCATGTGAGCTTCCATTCCCACCCAACTCTGCAGCAGGTATATTTTTACAAGCTCAAGCTAATTTCAGCAACATTTTTCTAGACCCTGCTGCAAGTGCAAAGGGAATTTCCTGTTTCAAAATCCATATAACTACAAAGTTGAGAAGCTTCTGCCTAAAACTTCAACAGGAAGTGACTAATATCATTATTAAAAGGAAATTATTGAGAATAAACTACCAGAATTCTATAAATATCTTCCAAGCAATGGTTATGCTTTATTAAATTATATCCTCATGGGCTAATAATCATTATTTGGGAGTACCTATAATAAAAATATTAAAGACATTTTCAAGGATGATTTACATAGGCTCTTCATTTCAGATCTGTGTTATCAGACTTGAGATGATTCGGTGATAGGGAGCACTATTTTTTGAATGCCAATTAAGCAAAATTTTATCGCCACCCCACCAAATTCCATTCTTTTCATTAATGGGACTATATGATAGATCACTCTGCTCAATAATTACATTTTGAATTTTATCAATTAAACATTTGCAGAAATTTGTTTTCTTTCTTGTCGTGTATAGAAAAGCCCATATAATATCCTTGATTTTGTCTCAGCCTGCAAAGCCTAATATATTGACTATCTGGCTTTCTACAGAAAAAGTCTAATGACCACTGGGTGACCATTGTCAGAAGCACATGTGATCAAGGAGGAAAGACAGCACCTAAGCACCCTAAATCCACGTGAATGGGGGAGCCAGGGAGTAGCAGCAACACTGAACTCAGAGGTAAACTTACATCAGAAGCAAATTACCTCAGGCTCCCCATTTGTAGCATCTCATTTTTTAATTGTATTTTTTTTATTGAGGTAACATTGGTTTACTATGCTGTCTATGATTTAGGGGTATAGGTTCATACCTTTTCAGATGTAGGTTACCAAACCATACTTACCACCTAGGTACTCAAAGACCTCCACCATAGTCCATTGGGCCACCCCCCATAATTGCCCCCACCCTACACCCATGGTAGCTCAAATCTATAGTCAGATTTCTAGGATGAGTTTGGTCTTACTTTGTTTCTTTATATCCCACATATTAGTGAAACTGTCCAGTATTTTTTAAAAGATTTATTTATTCATACAATGTCATGGTCAAACAGGCCAGATGCGTGGGAGGGTGACAGGATTCACCAGAGACAGAGTGGGGAACAAAACAGGCAGACTGATGAAATAAACTGCTGAGGGGAGCAGCAGGCGAGACAGGAGAGGTCTGCTTTGCCATGTGGGACCCTCGCCGGCTGGCCGGGATCGAACCGGCGCTGCAGAGGCTGCAGATAGCTTCACAGCGCGGCACTCAACCACCTGCACCACCAGGGATGCCCTGTCCAGTATTTTTTTTCCTGGACTTCTGTCACTTAGCATAATCCCCTCCATCTGTGTTGTTGCAAATGGCCAGGTTTCATCTTTTTAATAGCTGAGTAGTATTCCATAGCTGAGTAGTATTTCATTGTATGTATATATATCATATTTTCTTTATCTGCTTATCGCATGTTGGGCACTTAGATTGTTTTTCCATAACTTGGCTATTGTAAATAACATGGCAATGCAGTTCCCCAGTTTGTTAAATGGCCATTGCTCCTATTCAAGTTGTAGGATTTACCACTGCCAGCTAGATTTCATGTTAAGCTGGACTATTTTCCCTTCTCTTTATAAAACAATGGTGGCAAGAAAAGGATAAGTTGTAGTCCACAGTTGTGATGGGGAAAGGCTGAGAATTAAGAAATGGAAGAAAATTTTACTTATTCACATAGAAAAAAATTTTTATATTCAGATATGACTTTCTTCCTACCTTATGGCTTCTGCCATGGAATCTGTATATAGAAGTACATATCCCTGGGAAAAGACATTTTGAAGGGTGAAATATTTAAAATCTCATAGAATGTCATGGTCAAACCAAGTGTGCATTTTAGACCCTTAAGAGCAGACGTCTAGTTCTAAGGCCAAAGCTTAGGTGCATTACCAGTGAGGGAATTTCTCAGAAGGTCAGTAAAAAGTGGCTCCTCACTTCCTCAGCACAGATAGAAGCCCAGCTCTCTACAGCATCTTAAATGGCCACGGCTGCCTTCATAGGTATGAAATCCATTCTAGCAGGACCTGCTGATCTGGGTAGCTTCCAGGTTAACTCTTTGAAAAGACATCCAAAAAGACCCCCTCCTTCCCTGCTTTGTATGCAGGTAGCTGGAGAGGTGAAGTGACTCACCCAAGGACACCCAAAGGACTACAAAGCTGCAGATTTGGAGCCATCCCTCAAGTCGGGGGGAAGGCCCCATTAGCCCACTCTGTCTCCGGTTCTTCCCCAATGTCAGTCTTTGTCATGCCCGTGTGAGAAGGGACTCATAATGACATGGACAAAGATGCAGTTTCTCTTCAGTCCTTTCCGAGGTCTGCATGTGTGTGCACATACATGAGAGAAAGAATGTGAGAGAGGGAGGTGCTGCTCTAGTCTGGATATTTGAAAAGGTTGCCCACAGGAGTGAGGTTTCCCCTGGAGAGAGCCACAATTCATGGGGCTTCTTGACAAACCTTTATTTTTTTTTTATAATAAATTTTATTTTTATATTCCCCCATACAATTGCAAACGCACCATTCTGACCCCAATCCGACCCCAATCCTTCCCCTCCCACCCCCCACCCCCCAAAAAGTGTCTCTGGTTCATAGTTTTTTGTTGATTTTGATTTTCACTTTCTTATATTCATTTTCCTGGTCCCTTATTTAAGTTTTCTAGATTCCTGCTATGAGTGAGACCATCCGGTATTTTTCTTTTTCTTTTTGGCTTATTTCGCTGAGCATGATCCCTTCCAGCGCCATCCATGTTGCTGCAAATTGCATGTGTTTATCTTTTTTGAATGCTGAGTAATATTCCATGGTATATATGTACCACATCTTCTTGATCCAGTCATCTATTTTTGGGCATTTGGGTTGTTTCCAAAGCTTAGCTATTGTAAACAGTGCTGCTATAAACATAGGGGTGCAGGTGCTCTTTGGAATTGATGTTTCTGTGTCCTTTGGGTAAATACCTAGGAGTGGAATTGCTGGATCATATGGAAGCTCTATGTTTAGTAGGTCCAGAAATCTCCACACAGCTCTCCACAGTGGTTGGACCAGTTTGCACTCCCACCAACAGTGCAGGAGAGTTCCTTTTTCTCCACACCCTCGCCAACATTTGTTGTTGCTAGTTTTTTTAATATGTGCCATTCTCACTGGTGTAAGATGGTATCTCATGGTAGTTTTGATTTGCATTTCCCTGATGACAAGTGATGTTGAACATTTTTTCATATGCCTGTTGGCCATTTGCATTTCCTCTTCAGAGAAGTTTCTTTTTAGCTCTTCTGCCCATTTTTTGACTGGATTATTTTCTTTGTTGTTGTTGAGTCTCATCAGCTCTTTGCAGATTTTTGTGATCAGTCCTTTATCATTAGTGTTGTGTGCAAAAATGTTCTCCCAGTTGGTGGGGTTTCTCTTTGTTTTTGTTATTGTCTCTTTTGCTGTGCAGAAGCTCTTTAATTTGATGTAGTCCCAGCTGTTTATCTTTGCCTTCACTATCACTGCTTTGGGTGATGTGTCTGTAAAGATGTCTTTGATGTGCAAATCACATAGTGTTTCGCCTATATTTCCTTCTATGTATTTTATGGTTTCAGGTCTTATGTCTAGTTCTTTAATCCATTTTGAGTTGATTTTTGTGTATGGTGTGAGGTAGTGGTCAAGCTTCATTCTTTTGCATGTAGCGACCCAGTTTTCCCAGCACCATTTATTGAACAAACTTTCTTTGCTCCAATGCATAGTCTTTGCTCCTTTTGACAAACCTTTAAACGGAGGAATCAAAGTCTACATTTGGAACTTCTGTGGGGCAAACACATTTACCCAGTGATGTCTTGGCTTGACCATGACATTCTGTGCTACGTTCCTGATCTTCACGAAACACTGGAAGAGATAAGCTCCAACCCCATTTTTCAAGTGAAAACTAAGATGAAAACATTAACTTGTCCAACGTCACACTGTGACTAAGAGAGCTGGAACTCAAACTCAAGCCGGTTCCTAAACCCAAGCTTGATTTAAACACAATAGTCTTTTTTTAAATTTTTTTTAAAATTTTTAAACAATATTTGCTCCCCCCCACCCCCTCAGATTGAGTCCCCATAGAATTTCCTTCCCCAAGGCACCTGCACACCATCACCGCAGTCCTCTATAAACACAATAGCCTTCTAATGAGTGGGAAGAGGAAGGAAACAGCACAAATTGTTAAGGGGACCCAGGAGAGGGACAAACAGTAAGTCAGCAAACAGCTACTTGATATTCTAGCTACTAAGACAGGGTAGAAGCTGCTTGGCTGGGGTAGAAGGGATCTGATTCTGATTTAAAACAGGTGGAATGTAGAGAAATGTATCCCTGCAGGTGCCTCAAAGTCTGGGCAGCAGCAGCAGAACCCTTTCATTCGCCTCACACCTCGTCTCTCTAAGGAAGGGCCTAAGTGTACCCTGAGACTTGTCACAAGACAACGGAAGACCTAAGCCTGTGCCTACTCTAGAAATAAATACCAACTGCCCCAAATTGGTTATGACCAGATTATTATAATTATAGCAAATATACTGGGGAGAGGAGGGCTTGGGGAAGGGGGGACCAGATAAAGAAAGCTCATGGCCAAGGTGCCTTATATATAGTCAAGATTGCTGGCCCACTGGGCCACGTACCTGAGTGGCAGAGTACTGCCAGGATGAGTAGGAGCCCAAGCATGATGAATCTTCCTTTGTTTCCCATTGTAGTAGTCACAGAATCTGGATGGAAGGGACACAGAGGGTCATGAACCAACAAATGATTGCCAGTGATCTCAGAAACCAAGAACTGGAAGATCTAGGGGCTTCGGGATACATGGGAAGGAGCTAGCAGACCAAGAAAGCATGGCTGGGGTGCCATGAACCAAGAGTGCTCTTGGGGGCTACACTTAATTCCCGCCTCCTACCCCGAGACCTGAACTTACTAAAGAAATGTTCCTAGTCCGGTGAGGGGGGCAGCTATGCAGAGTCAAAGCACAGCAAGCACCGCCCCAGTCTCCTAATGGTCACCACCAGCCACGCTGACCCTTCTGGGAGTTAGCTGCCCACAGCACCCCTGTGCAGTAAGGGCCTGAGACAGCCCAAGGGTGGTGGCTAAGAGCTCAGAACCTGGAGTGACAAAGTCTTGCTCTCCTCCTTTCTAACAAATGGCAGATACATAGATGCCTCCCAGTGCCAGGAGAATTAGGTGAGATAAAACAGCTTAATGCCATGTCACCCCTTCCTAACTCACACTAGACTCCACACCCAACCACACCCTACCACAGACTTCTTGCCTTAAGTCAGACTGGCGTGTCTACACCTCCTGGTCTGAGTGTTACAGGGCAGGGAGAGGGGCAGCCCAGACCCCACAAACCTACCTGCTCTAAATAGGTTCTGCCATCCACCGCATCAACACAAAACATATGAGACTTTAATGGGAAGGAACTTTAATACAACTAGGAAACAAGACAGGAAAGGCAAAGAATCTAGTTTCTAAATCAAGCACCCAAAGTTACCCGTCCCCTCGTGGGTAAAAGTCCGCCCAAGCAGGATTGGCCCAGAATAAGGCCTGAAAACCTGCCACAAGTCTAAAGCATCTTCCAGTGGGGACCCACAGAAAAGGATCAGAAACAACCAGACAAATCTGGGCAGAAAAGAGCAAAATCAAGACAAAAACTGCCTTTGTCACCTCCCCACGAGTCTCACCCACATCTGTGTCACCCAGTCCACGACCAAAAGGCAAGTGCAGTTTCTTCACGTGTCTCTCAGTTCCATGTGCCTCTCCAGGTCTCCTCCAGGCTCTCCATGCTGCTTCCTTCCTTCCTCAGTCTCCTCTGCAGCTTCTTCCCTCCCTGCTCAGCTCCACCCTCCTTTTGGGTGGGGCAGGAAACCTGGAACCTCCCCCTTTCCTGGGGCCCACCCTGTTACATGAGTACCTGACTCCCCAGGGATCTTTGTTCTTGTCCTTGACCCTGAGAGATGGAAGCACTGAGGTCTCTGGACCCTAATAGAGGAGGAAGAGATCCTAGACCCTCCTCCTGGCACCTTCTCCCCTATAACTGCCATCTGCCTGGTGCCAAAAGACAGAAGTGAAAGAATCACTATTGCTCCTGCTTCCTGCTTGGTTCCTCCCTCACCCTCAGGGGTTTGGGGTAGAAAGGCTAACTGACATTCAACTTAAACAGGGCTTGGGCCTGGAAGAAGAGCCACACGTGAACAAAGAGTGGAAGGTAATGACACAGCACCCCCCTCCCCCCACCAACATAGAGACAGTGGGCTCAGACACATCCTCAAAGTTAAGAATAGCTGCTGCTGCAGGAAGAGGGAGGAACCATCTGACTGGGATGAGGAAAAGTCTGGAAAGGATTCAGGCTGATTCTTGGCTCCCCCCAGGGTGGTCCTTGATCTAAATAACAGTTACAACAAGCACGGTGACATACATACATTGTTCCCTGATGACTGTGTTAGAAAGGATCAGCCTGCTAAGACAGGCCCATCCGTGCAGCTGAGATTGTGGATGAACCTGACGCACCATTTGGACTTTGCTAATCAACGCAAACCTAACAAGTACACGCAAGATACACTCAGAAGGCCTGGCACTAAAACTGTTCCCTAAAAGCACAAGGACACCTTTAAGCAATGGATTTAATTACTGGAAGCAACCTGACATCTTCAGAATAAGGTACAAATGGACTCAGAGAGCTTGTCTGGAGACAACAAGGTACAGATAAAGATAGGCGGAGCCACTGGGAAATACCACTTTGGAGTTGCAAAACACACTTGAGATCAGTCTTAAAAGGACAGATTTTGCTGTGTGGTTCTTAAGTTGACCCTAAAATAAATTCTTTCAGGGGAGCTCCAAATAGATTTATTAAGCAAAGGAAAAAGTAAACAGTTTAGGACATAGTTCTGTTTAAAATAGTAATAGTATGGCAACATGCATGTACAACAAGGAGGAGTTGAGTAAATTCAGGTACAATTCCACAGACATGTTAAAGAGTAACTGACATGAAAATGGTAATCCATTAAGAAAAAACTAGCTTCAGGCCTCCCTGGTGGTGCAATGGGCTAAGTCTCAGCACTATGAAGCTATCTGCAGCATAAGTTCAATTGCCCGTCAGGGAGATAACCCATGGCTCAGCAGACCTCTCCTGTCTCACCTGCTGCTCCCCTCAGCAGTATATTTCAGTCAATCTGCCCATTGTGCCCCCCACTCTGTCTCTGGTGAATCCTCTTGCCTCCCAGCCCTCACACCTCTGGCCTACACCCCAGCTCTTGTATGCATAAATAAATAAAACAAATCTTAAAAAGGAAAGAAAAAAACTAGCTTTAAAATAAAAAAATACTTGAAATTCTGTACCAAGTTTTCCAAACATTTTGGAATATGTCAACAGAATGGTAGAATTATGAGTTTATGTTTAAATTTTTTTATATTTAATATTTTGTAATTGTTATTGAAGTGCCATTGCTTGGTCATGTTTTGACAGTACTGGATTTCCCCCCTCAGGTGTAGACACCATAGCACTCCCCATACCAAAGCATTTGGTCTTTTGCCATAATCCACTGTGTTCTCCCAATGCACCCCCATCCGCATCTCTCAACTCTCCCATTTCCCCTCCAAAAGCCATAGAGCTCTGATCTGCCTTCAAGGGTTGGTTTTAAAATTTGTCTTTATCTGACCGTTTGGTTTTCCTGTATACCACATATAAGTGACACCATTGGGTATTTATCTTTTGCCTACTGGTTTATTTCACTTAGCTCCATCCATGTCCATGTTGATGCAAATGGCATGAGTTTATCTTTTTTGATTGCTGAGTAATATTCCATCTGTTTATATACAACATATTGATCCATTCATCTGTCGTGGGCACTTAGGTTGTTTCTGTATCTTAGTTATTATCGACAGTGCTGCGGTGAATGTGGGAATTCTGGTTTCCTTTTGAATTAATGTTTTCTTTTGGGTACATACTCAGGAGTAGAACTGCTGGATCGTATGGCAGATCCATATGTAGTCTTTTGAGAAATCTCCACGCTGCTTTCCCCAGGGATTGCGCCTGGCTACATTCCTACCAACAAGGTCAGAGGGTCCTTTTTTCTCTACACCTTCACCAGTACTTGCTGTTTCTGGTCTTTTTGACATGGGCTGTTCTCGAAACAGGTGTGAAGTGGTATCTCGTTGTTTGGACTGGCAATTCCCTGATATGTGATGAACATTTTTCATGTGCCTGTTGGATATTGGTATGTCTTTTTTGGAGAAGTGTCTACTTAGTTCTTCCTCCAATTTTTTTAGTGGACTGTTTCCTTTTTGTTGAATTTACTGTAGATCCTTGATATCAGTCCCTTGTTGGATGGTGTGCCAGGTGTTAAATATATTACTTTTTTTAAATTTAGATTTATTTTTTTATTTATTTAAACAAGCACTGGGTACAGTCAGAAGTGCGGGAGGGTGAGAGAATCCACCAGAGCCAGAGCGGGGAGCAGAGCAGACAGAAGGACCGAAGTACACTGCTGAGGGGAGCAGCGGGCAGCATGAAAGGTCTGCGCGCCATGTGGGACCCTCCTCCAGTGGCCGGGGAGCAGCCGGGGATCGAACCGGCGCTGCAGAGGCTGTGGGCAGCTTCGCATCCCAGCACTCAACCACTGCGCCACCGGGGAGGCCCCCACTATTATATTTTTAAAGTATAGTTGACATATAACATATTATTTTCTGTATACAACATGATAAATTTGTATATACTTCAAAATGATCATCACAATAATTACTTCTGTCATCATAGACCTAATATACTTGTTTTCTTGCAATTGGAATTTTTAAGATCTGCTCTCAGCAACTTTCAAACATGCAGTACAGTGTTACTACAGTCGCTATGCTGTGTATTACCTCCTCTTGACTTTTATAGCTGGAAGTATGTACCTTATGACCCCTCAATTTATGAGTAGAATGAACCTCTATATTCAATTATTTTAAATAGGAAAAAAAAGACATGGTATTGTGCTCCCCAAACGCCCATCCAGTATCCCCAAATATCTATCTACCCACCTACCTATCTAAATAATCCAAAGAAAACTGAACATAAAGCATTTATCAAAATTATTGAATGATGTAACCTAAATGAACTTTGGGCTTTCACTGGTGGGCATATTTGCCATGGTGAAGCAGGTTCAATTGGCACCAAGTCATCCCCACACTCATCATTTGTAAACTCACTGTGACCGGGTCACTGTAAGCAGGTGACTGCTGAGCAGGTGTCACTGTAAGCAGGTGACCTTTCAGCCAGGCAAGGCTCCTTACAATTGAGCAGAGGTGGTTACCAACCAAAGACTAGGAAGAATACAGATTAGGGCAGTGGTGCTGGTTCTGAACAGTAAGTGGGTATTAGAATCACCCACAGGGCTGTTAAACACAGATTGCTGGACGCCACCCCTGGAGGTCTGATTTCGCAGATGCAGGACTGGCATTCCTGAGGAGGGCTACAGAATAACCTGGGACAAGGAAGAAGCTAGTTCAGACAGCATTGGAAGCGACTCTCCCAACAGGGTTGGGGAAAATGTTAGTGTTGATGAAATAATGAGAGGCTCTTTCCATTTTAAGGGCCTGTGTGAGGACATCAAGTCCTGTTTCACTGAGTGGCAGCCATTAGGCAAGTCCTTCTTTCTGCACCAGCTTCCATTCAGTGAGCAAAAGGCCCCGGCTAATGGCCTTTTGACATGTGATCTGTATTGAATCCTCACACTTCTCTGCCAAGTGGGTTCAATCTCTGGTTCCATTTATAAGACGAAACTAAAAATTGAGGAGGGGAACTAATTTAGGCAACTGTGGCAGGTGGAATAATATCTCTTCTCCAAAGATGGCCACACAGTAATTGTGGGTACCTATGAATATAACCAACCTTACATGACAAGTGACTGTAAATGAGATGAAGGTTAGAGAAATTATTCTGGGTTTTCCAGTGAGCCCATCATAATCACCTATTGAAGAGGAAGAGAAGTGTAGCAGAGAGGCAAGAGATTTGAAGAGTAAGATGTACTTCACCTCTCACTGCAGAACACAGCACTATTTTGAAAACAGAGGGAGGCAGCCACCAGAAACTAGGAAAGTCCTCAACTGAATGGGACCTCAGTCCACCGATCACAAGAATTGGATTCTGCCAATAACTCAAATGAGCAAGAAAGGATTCTCTCACAGAGGCTCCACAAAGGAACACAGCCCCACCAACACCTTGACTTGAACCCATTTAAGGCCCATGCCAGACTTCTGATGTAGGAACCTAAAATGAATAAACCTGTGCTGTTAAGCCACTGCATTTATGGGGATTTGTCTCAGCAGAAAATAGAAAATGAATACACCAACCTCAGAACTGGTACCTGGGTCTACCAGGTCTGAGTTCTTCACCATAGTTACTCCCCCTCTGGTGGGGTGACTTCTTGTTTATTTAGCTTCTGAAGTAAATAATTAAGCTGAGGTCACAAGAGAAGATTTTACAGACAGCATTTCCACTATATTCACAAATACCTGTGAATATAGTTATTGCTCCTGGGAGCCTGAGGCCTTAGAGACTTATGAACTGAAGTCCTCAAAATAAAACCCAAAGTTTTTATTTTATAGGAATTAATAATGGAGGCCTGGCAGGGGAGATAAAGTTACCTGTCCCAAGACAACAGGTGAGTTGCAGAGTCGGTAGACCTTATTTCCATTCACAGGAGCTGGTAATTCACAAGTGGCTTAACTTTACCTGGCAGCTAGTAGTGTCAGGAGCCTGGAGCTCATGTTTCCTTATCACTGTGGACAGACATAGTATCTGCACAGCCCCAAGCATGCTGAGATACCAAGACAAAGATCAGCTGCTCAGTTATTACATCAGCAGTTTTAGTACTCAATATTCCGTAATTACATCAGCGGGAAGGGAAAGGCACCATCATAATAGAACAGCCCCTCCCAGCTACCTTGAGGTCCTGCTATCAGAGACAACCACCCCAGAACTCCATACCACCTAAATTTGCAGTTTCCCCTATTAAGGGCATTCTGCACAATTTTCTCCAGTGAATAGTAATACTTAGAACCTTTTTTTAAATGGTTGGCAGGCTAGAGTGCCCACCCCAACTACAGTCCCCAACATGCCTTTCATCTCCCACAGAAATTCTTCCTCCTCCTTCCCCCTGGCTCAAGAGATCATATGGGTGGAGGGGGGGCTTGTTAGCCTTGGATTCAGGGATCATGGCAAAACCCACATGAATACACACTCTCCAATCTGCCCTCTTCCTGTTTTAGGAATAACTGATGGTTTTTGTCTGAGGTCAACAACCTCAAGTCCCTAGCTTTTTGATAGCTCAAAAAGGCCATCAAAGCTTACTCATGGCCCTACCCTTTGAGAGTAGGGCCAACTGTTTAATCAAGATATTTCACAAAGATATGGGGCACAGGCAAAAACTCTTTGAAAGAAGATTTCCCCTTTGAATTCCTCAGGCACCTCTGGGCTTGGTGTGTTCATGACCGTTGGAAGAGGTTCCTCAAGAACTGGCCCAGGATTCTTTATGCACTCCTTTTTAAGAGCATGTACAAAATGAATGCCAGGTGACCATTCATCACCCTAAAACCTATTTTATTTGGACTTTTCCCTTCCAAGTCACTCAGCATCATGGAATGCTTTTCTTATAAGTTGGGCAAACAGTTTCCAGTTTTCACTTTGAAAACATAATAGTCCTAAGTGTTAGACAGATCAGGAAATCTCTCCCTGTGGACAACCTGTCTTGGGGTGTCATGCTTTTCCAGCCACAGTAAGTAGCCACGTTTCTGGAAATGTTGTCATCTCTCTCAATGACCATTCTAGTCTCTGTGCCTTCCTTGGGGAACTGGGGGTAAGTTGCCCGCTGAGGGAATGATAAATAGCTGCTGTGGGTCATGAAGGTACCCGAAATTATTAGCAGTCACTATTTGTTCTTTATGGAAATTATTAGCAGTCACTATTTGTTCTTTATGTAAATCAGGTGCCATAAATTATCTCATTTTGTCCTTATAACATTCAGTGAAACAAGGCCTGTTATTGTACTAATATTAAATAACTTGCTCAGAATTATCCAGACAGTAAACAGCAGAACCAAGATTTAAATTCCCATCTGATGCTGAAGGCCAGGCCCTCGACCCACAGTGACTGATGAACATGACGAGAAAAAAATGTGAACTCACCACTTATCAAGACACACAGCTTCACATGCTGTTAATTCTCTGTGGCTTCTGGTGTCAAAATTACCAACAGATACATGAAGCTAGCCAAGGTGGGGGCAAAGTGTTTTCAGAATCAAACACAAAGAAAGTATCTTAGGATTATATCTCCTGTGTTGCTGTCTCTTCCTCCTTTTCAAAAAATGTCTGTCCCCACAAGCTGACCGGCTAGAGTGTGTGGACTGTCTCTCTTAAGTTTGGAAAATTTATGGGCAGGTTTGTATAAAGCTGAGAGCAACTGATGCAGGTCTCAGCTGGGGCCCCTTGAATTCCTGAGGAAAGTCACGTGCTTTTTAAAAGCCTCATTTGGTCACAGCTGGAGGCATTTTGGACAGATAGAAAGGGCTGGTAGGAAGAAAATTGTGAGGACCTTCCTGACTGTAGCCTGCCCAGGAGGCTGAGATCCCTCATCCTGCACACGAAGATACTGGGCGAGGCAGAAGCAGAAGTCACACAGCTACTGCCAGGGTGAGTCACCCCAGGCCGCCTCCTGTGGGATGCGGGATATGGGAGCCGCATTAGCTGGCACGGTGCTGTTGTTGGTCAGAAGGGAGGAAGGTATGCTCTGTGATATGTTGCTAAGCTGTTTTGGGAGGGAGAGCCTGCTTCTTCTTAAACAATTAATCACACTTCCCCTGCCTTAAAAGTCACCCCTCATAATAAGAAGGAGGGCAGCCCAAGCCACACCCCACAAAGCAAAAACCGCACACCCGACTAGCTCTGCCCTGCTATTTAAAATCCAAAACTGATCTCTAGAAAGCAGGGGAAAAGCTGCCCCCTCTCAGGGGAGGCCTTCGTTTCCTTTCAAGACAGTTTATTTTCCCTAAGCTGCTGGTGCTGTTACCGAACGCCGGCCTCAGTTTCCCTCAGCCAATAAAAAGGAAACTAAGTTTGAGGAAAAGGAAAGCGGTTTTATTTGTCGACAAATGAGGAGGGCGGCAGACTCACGTCCGAAAAACCACCGTCCTGCTCTTAGGCAGTGGGCAGGGGTATTTATACAGGGGGAGATGGGTAGGCATCCGCGAAGGGGAGGGGGAAGGGGTCCGCACAGAGACAAGTGGGCGCCAGCTCAACAGGGAGATGGATGGGTGTCAGCTCATTCATCTTAAGGGAAGGGGAAGGTGTCAAGGCAGAGAGACGGGTGATCGCCAACTTGTTTTCCTTAGGGCGAGGGGGAAGGGTCTACAGGGAAACCGGTGGGCGCCAGCTTTTTTTTCTTCCCAAGGGGAGGGGAAGCTGCAACAAATGGGAAAGACAAGTCATCAATCCTGTTAATGCTAGATAAGGGGAATTGCAAAAAATGGGGGAAAGACAAACTTGTTAACTGTATCATAATCCCCACTCTCAGTTATGACCTTCCATTTCTATGGGAAAAGGGGCGTCGTGTCATCTGGCTGCTTCCTGCTGAACAGGGTCGTCGTGGTGGGGGGTTTACGATGGAAGGCCTGCACTTACTGGTGCCATAGTTCCCGACATGATGTTAAGGTCTTGGCGCTAGTGTGGCAGCGACAAGATATACAACACAGCGTAGTCCTAAATGTAAGAGGGATTACTTTTTCTCTTCCTCAAGATGATGACATTAAGGTTACAGCCCTCACTGGAGAGGACCAGAGAATAATATAGTTACGGAAACATAATTTTTCTCTACCCTCATCCCAATTCTGTAAAATAGTAAACCAAATCTAATTTTAACAATTTTCCCTATATTTGCATAAACTCATAGGGCAGAGTAAACAAGTAGAGTGTTGTTGGCTTTGTTGAAAATTCCACAGGCCTTAGCGTGAGCTTTTTAACATCCAGTCCATGCCGGCTTTATCAAAGTCACAGTCTCACCAATCTTCACCTGAGATTTCCTCTTCTCAAGGTTCCCAGGACTTTTTCCAGGGTTTTCCTCAGTCCTGTCCATGGAGGCAGCTTCCTCATTTTTCATGGAGGTCTCTGGAACCCAGTAAGCAAGGTGACAGGATCTTCTTGGCTCGCTCTTCTCAGCTCAGCACGGTTTATTCCCAGAAGAATTTCAATCAAAGCCTTTTAACAAAACATGTTTAATTTACCAGGTTAAGGAGAAATAAATAAAATTCCCTATTGAGATTATGCAAAGATAGACATTGTCCTGAGAAGTACAAATATTGCTTATAAATTTTTGGGATGAGACAAGAGAAAAGCAAATGCTTCAGTTTGTTCATAAAAAGATGCAAATTGTCATTGTTAAGATCATAGCCCAGCTTAAAGACAAGGTTTCTGGAGACCCAAAAAACCAAAACATTAAAAACTAATTTTTTTTTAAAAAGTCATGAAATATTATTCAAATCTTCCTCAGTGTACTTTCCATATATTAAGTCTCCATCTTCTGTTGGTAATTTTCATAAATCAAATTTTTATAGGCTCAGTAGGTCTTTTCAGTTCCAAAACATATCTATATTGTCAGTCTCTTTTTGTGAGTTTTTTTTAAAGACAAAGCTCAGCAAATAAACTTTAGAAAGAACAAAAACTCGAAAATGACCATACCTAAAATCATGGCTTAAGGTAAAAGACAAGGATGTTTGCTCAGTTTTGTGACAAACATACACATATATATTTCAGTATAATCAGAACCATCCAATAATATTATACCAGAACATACTAGGTTTTAAAAATCGCATATATTTTAGAACACTTTAATCAATTTTATATATGATGAAAAGGTATAACTTTTTCCCTCAATGACAATTTTTATGAAGTTTTAACATTTCTAGATTGGTCCAATGTGTTTTAGCATTTTGCTATAAGGAAAATAATTTATTAAGAGTCCTAAGATGCATCAAATAATTTTACTTGATTCAAAAAAAAAACTTTACCATTTCTGAAATTTGACTCCAAGAAAAGTTTCTTCACAGGCTTAATAATATATACAGATTTTTATAAAACAACACTAAGGTACCCAGAGTGATAACTAGAGGTTTTTAAAAGTAGATATATTTTCACAGTGCTCAACAATGCTGACAGGACTATATTTTTCAGTTTACCAAGTCCAAGGGTAAAAGAGAACCAAGATTTCAGATTACCTAAACAGTTTTTAATTTGTCATCAAGAACTAGTAAAAGCAGTTTAAGAATACTTGAGCCTTTACTGCAGATGGAAAAGAAATTAAATTTTTTGGTTTTACGTAAGTACACCACTGATAATAAATTTGAATATTCCTAAAGCAAGTCATTCTAGCACATAGCATTTTACTAAGATACCTCTCTCAGATCTGCAAAGCTTTAACACCTTTTTTTTTTCAAGATAGCTATTTTGTTTTGACACTAAATTTTTCAGACCTTTAGCATATTTTTTTACATACATATCTTAACACAATCTCGCTTTATTTGCATTTAGAGTTACAACATTTTAGTTTTTAATTTTTAGATTGTAAGACTGTTATAGAAGACTTTTGTCTTTATTTATGCCCACAGGCCCAGAGATCTTTTTCCAAAGTTCAAGCCCCCAGCAATTAGGCAATAGAGCATCCATTGCCCCAGCAGAGGCACATTCGCACTTTAAAGCAAGCAGGGAGTACAGAAGCTGGAGACTCCCAAGAGGTCATCTGGGGCACACAAGTCAGGCGCCTGGCCAGAGAAAGTCCATCAGTCACTCCCTGAAACTTTTAGTCCACTCAGGCCTTGTCCC